CCGATCACTAGCAAGGGCTCAGAGCTCGGTGTGCCCCTCAAGGCACCCCACCCGCAGCCTCCTTTCCCCCCTTTTTGCAACTACATCCAGTCCTCCAGTTAAGCTTAAACAAAAAATTATAGAATGACAGAATCGAAGGACTGGAAGGGATCTACAAGATCATCAAGTCTGGTCCCTTGCCATGGGCAGGGAGTTAGTGGGCTCAAACAAGCTCAACAAAGTACTTATTCAGCCTCATCTTGAACACATCTAAGGATGGTGACTGCACCACCTCTGTGGGGAGTGTGTTCCAGATTCTGGTAACGCTTACAGAAAAAAAGTTTTTTCTTATGTCCAGCCTAAATTTTCCCTCAGTTAGCTTGTGCCCATTGGTCCTCGTCCTCCCTTGAGATGCCTTCCTGAAGAGCTGCTACCCTAGATCTCGATGCTCATCCTTGACGTACTTGTAGGCAGCTATGAAGTCACCTCTCAGTCTTCTCTTACTCAGACTGAGCAAGCTCAGTTCCTGGAGTCTCTCCTCAGGGCCTATCCTCTAGGCCCCTAACCATATGGGTGGCCCTCCTTTGTACCTTCTCGAACTTATCCACATCCTTCCTGATGTGTGGTGTCCAGAACTGGACACAGTACTCCAGCTGTGTACTCAGCTCCAATGCTGAATAGAGAGAGAGAAGCACCTCCCTGGATCTACTGGCAACACATCGGCTGATGCATGCCAAAGGCGTATATGCCCTGCTGGCAACCTCATCGCACTGTTGACTCATGTTCATCTTCCAGTCGATTGTGACTCCAGGTCCCGTTCAGATGCTGTCAGCCAGTGTACCACCACCTACTATGTCGTTATGGTGAAGTTCTTCCTACCCAGGTGAGTTCTTCCTACCCAAGGCTCACCAAAAGCATCCAGGAATGTCTCAAAGCCAAAAAGGAGGCGTACACCCAATGGAAGGGAGGGGCCATCACCAAGGAGGATTATACCTCCATTGCTTAAGACTGTAGCGGGGCTGTTAGGAAGGCTAAGGCGGAGATGGAACTGGGACTAGCGACCCAGATCAAGGATAACAAGAAGTCCTTTTTTAAATACATAGCGGGTAAAAAGAAGGTACCAGGTAACGTGGGGGCTCTGCAGGATACACTGGGAAATCTAGTGGTCACACCAGACGACAAAGCTAACCTCTTTAACAGTTTCTTTACCACCATCTTTTTGAGCAGGGACTGGGGCATCCACCCCACTGGGATTCCCAACGGACCCAGGGGAGGTGCTGCCAGGCCCCGGGTCAGAGAGGGCCTAGTCAGGGAACTTCTGGTGGGACTAGATGTGTTCAAATCAGCAGGTCCTGGTGATCTTCACCCCAGAGTGCTGAGGGAATTAGCAGCGGTCATTGCAGGACCCCTGGCACAGCTTTACGAGCACGCATGGTGTTCTGGTGAGGTGCCAGAAGACTGGAAAAGGGCCAATGTGGTCCCCATTTTCAAAAAAGGGAGGAAGGATGACCCAGGAAACTACAGGCCTGTTAGTCTTGCCTCCGTCCTGGGGAAGCTCTTTGAGAAAATTATCCAGGAGCACATCTGTGAGGGACCAGCAGGAGAGATCATGCTTAGGGGCAACCAGCATAGGTTCATTCAAGGCAGGTCCTGTCAGACCAACCTGGTGGCCTTCTATGACCAGGTCACAAAATCCGTGGACGCAGGTGTCGCAGTGGATGTGGTCTTTCTGGACTTTCGGAAGGCCTTCGATACTGTCTCCCACCCCATTCTTATTAAGAAACAGTGGGGTTCCCCAAGGCTTGGTCCTTGGGCCCGCACTGTTCAACATTTTCATCAGCAACTTGGACGAGGGGGTGAAAAGCACCTTGTTCAAATTTGCAGATGACACTAAGATGTGGGGAGAAGTGGGCATGGCACGCTGGAGGAGAGGGACAGGCTGCAACTAGATCTAGACAGGTTACAGGGGTGGGCAGATGAAAACAGGATGTGATTCAATACTGACAAGTGCAAGGTACTGCACCTGGGGAGGAAGAACCAGCAGCATACCTATAGGCTGGGGAACTCCCTTGTAGTCAGCTCAGAGGCAGAAAAGGATCTTGGTGTCATTATTGATTCCAAGATGAACATGGGCTGCCAATGTGGGGACATGGTCAGGAAGGCTAACCGCACCTTGTCATGTATCCACAGATGCATCATGAGCAGGTCCAAGGAGGTGATCCTCCCCCTCTGTGACACTGGTCAGGCTGCAGTTGGAGTACTGCATCCAGTTCTAGGTGCCACACTTCAGGAGGGATGTGGACAGCATCAAGAGGGTCCAGAGGAGGGCCACTTGCATGATCAGGGGGCAGCAAGGCAGGCCCTATGAGCTGAGGCTACGGGACCTGAACCTGTTCAGCCTCCACAAGAGAAGGCTGAGAGGGGATCTGGTGGCTGTCTACAAACTGGCCAAGGGGGACCAGCAGGCTATGGGAGTCCCTGTTCCCCCAAGCACTGCCAGGAGTAACGAGGAATAACGGCCATACTTTGACAGAGAGTACATTCAGGCTAGACATCAGGAGGCGCTACTTCACGGTCAGGGCAGTTAGGATTTGGAACCAACTTCCAAGGGAAGTGGTGCTCACTTCTACCCTGAGGGTCTTCAGAAGGAGGCTAGATAATCACCTAGCCGGGGTCGTTTGACCCCAGCATTCTTTCCTTCCCAGGGCAGGGGGTCGGACTTGATGATCTGCTCAGGTCCCTTCCGACCCTACCAACTATGAAACTATGAACCCTGAACTTCTCCTTTTAAACTTCATCTGACTCCGTTGCACCCATAAAACGAGTCTTTCATGGTCATCCTGGATCTTTACCCTATCCTTTGGGCTTGTGTTTCCCCACAGCTTAGTATCATCCAAAATCTTATCATTGAGCTTTCCATCCTTTCA